GAGGGTCACCGCCGGCTATGCTGAAAGCGGAAGAAAACCTCCACACGAGTCTATGTCATCCCGAAAGGAAGGTGGAGACGGTTTCGATGGCCTACGGCCACAGAAGACCGGGAATTTTGACACGAAAGGAGCGATTCGGGACAGCGGCGGCCTAGCCTCTCTTAGATAGACGCTTCAACATTCCGAGCTCGTGCCTCGCTTGTTGAAACAGCGGCCCTGAAACAGAAACTGATGGACGTAGAAGATTATTTGTTGGGACCAGCTCTTATTCGATTTGATCGCCGCGCTCTAGACCTCCCTTCGCCAACCTTCGCCATAGTCAAGCAAAACTAGGAGCAAGTAGCGCGCAATGATTCCTTTGGGGTGTGGCAGAAGGTGTTTCTCATGCTGTATATTTATGTTCAAATCGACAGTCACGCTCACCAGGATTGTGGATTATGAACTTTGGCAACCATCACTCATTGAGGGAACGTGTCGAATTCACCCGGCGTGACATTGTCCGGCATGCGCCTGGAATGTTATTTTTGGCGAAATTTTGCGGAGATTTGCAAGAGATTTGTCGAAATTTGGCGTTTTGTCACGGTCATCCCGGCCGCTTGTCGAATGTCTAACACAGAAATACAGCAGTGGTAGCTGATGCTTTCAATTGATAGTATAGTAGTGTGTTTCAGAGTAGCGGAAGTACATAAGTAATTGCTGGAATCACTTTCTTAAACAGAAGGAAGTACAAGTGAAGTAAAAACACACCCTTGAACTCTTCCGACATCTGTTTACACGCAAGAAGATTAGTTGAATGTGACTGTGATGCATGGGATAAGAACTGAAGCGTACATGAAGTCGAAAACATCCATGGAATTAAGGTCGCCTCACTCTAATTAGGTCGAATTATCTGGTTTCGCATAACAATGCAGGTTGAACGCCCAGAACCCGGTGTTTGTTAATATATGTCACCGTGTGAAACCTATTTCAGACTCCGCTTCCTACTCCTTATCACCACAATCGCGACCATCGTCGACTAAGTATCCCGCAACCCAAGTCCTCTCCCATGAGCCTCTGTCTGTACATACGACCCTCATACCCCCTGATCTCCGCTCTCATGTCCATTCTCGTTGCTACGGATCGCCTGAATGACTCGGATGAGATTTTTCACTGAAACCGCCAACAAGGCTGTAGATCTCCGACATCCTTGGGCTTCTGAATTCGCCATGGACCGGGGAGCCATAGTGGCTTTCTGATACACACTCAAAGCTTCCTATTTGTTTGAATATTGACGATATTCATTCGAGCAGACGAAAAGGCACCCGGTTGCGTCAGTCTCTATATCCTCCGTCCCTCCTTCGTTCCTGAGTTATAGATGAAGTACTCATCAGTTGTCTCCTTTCGTTACTTGTGACTCTTCTGTGGATGCACTGCAGGTCGAGCGGGATACCGTACGTTCGTAATATGGATCTTTGTGTACTTTTTTTTCGCCCATATCCACCAACGTGTACAGACCGCCTTTTTCGAAACTCGAGCCTGCAGACTCAGCGAGAACCTGGGGAGAATGTATTGAGAATGCAGGCGAAAAAGGGCGATGGTAAAAGCAGAGCACAATCGGTAAATTCCGGGTCGAGTGCAAGTCGAGTGTCGAGATTCCGTGTTTCAAATGGAGGTAAGTACCGCACCCGTCTTCTGACTCATCCCACAACAGTCTTATCTACGACAGTCCACGCCAGTTCTCGACAGCTTTGGCCGGAATATGCACGGAATCGGACATAGACCTCAGCCTGGCTGCTATAAGATGCCTGCCCTGTCGTCTTGCGGTATAAATCGACCCATCCACACCGAATAGCGATCCACATTGGTCCCCTTCTTGGTTGGCTGGATCTCGAGCTGAATGCCCAAAGGAACGGTATCTACGCCGAGAGGACGCGGAAGTTATGCACCGCAGGCGTGCGATGTATGCAGAGTAAAGTAACTGTGTTCTTCGTTCCAAGAACCGGCGTTCCTTTGAACCCAATTCCCATCCAGGAAGATTAAATGTGACGGTGTGAAGCGTGTTTGCAGCCCTTGCGTCGCGTCTGGCCGGGAACTGGAGGTAAGTAATCCGAGCAACGATCTTGCGGTCTTTTTGAGACGGTCTGACGATATGACAGTGTGCGTGGACCAAGGAACACGTTCGCAAACCCCGCACGGAGGCCCATTTTGAAGCCCTTCGCAAACGCGCGGACGCGCTAGAGGTCTATTCCAAGCTGCTTGAAGACATGCTGTCCAAATGCCTGTGTCAAAACCCCGGGGGTGCTGAGGGCCACCTTCAATTCCGCCCGGAAGAGATGGACGAAGACGGCGAGGAGGATGACATGTCAGATACAGGTATTGCGCAGGAACTCTGTGTCCCTACCGAGAATTTGAAGGTATGCATCTCACCCAGTTTGAATCTCACAGCTCATTGTTGGGACAGCTCGAGGAGAGGGATTTGCTCCTGCACGGAATCACTGCGCCATTTCGGTTCGGTACGACACTTCCCGATGGGCCCTCACGATTTCCAGAGATTATTGAGAATCCGAGCGATTCCTATGTTCTCATGGTCGAAGGTGTAGACGAAGCGCACTACAACCCTGACTTTAACTGGTCGCGGTATCTCCCCTCGCAGGTCCCGCTGGACAGACGCGAGCACGATCGGTCAGCTGTTGCGTTCATTCAGCTACAATCTACTTACTTACTAGTCACCAGTGTCCTCGACCTCTGCTTCAAATTCTTCACATCGTGGTGCATGCGCATCGTCCCCGCGCTCTTCCTGCGCGATATGTACCGCCACCTTGGCGTCCCCCGCGCACACACACCGCCCAAGACTCCACACTACTCACCCATGCTGCACAACGCGCTAATCGCGCTTGCTACCGCCTTCTCGGACGACCCGCGCATCCGCGACCTCAAGTCACGGCAGTACTTCGCCGCCGCCGCGAAGAACTACATCGAGGAGGAATGCCAGAGGCCCAACATCAGCGTTGTGCATGCGCTGTCGATCCTCGGCAGCTTCCACTCGTCGCAGGGCGACCAGATGCTTGGGTATATGTATTTCGGTGTGTGTTATCCAGTCAATTATATACGCAGGTTCAAATGTTCTTTCATGCAGGGATGAGTGCAAGGATTAGCCAAGCCCGTGAGTCACTCTTTATTTTTCGTCTTCCCGTCAAGTCCTCATCTTCATTTAGTCGGTCTCAGTATCGACTCATCCTCATGGGTCCGAGCGGGGTTGATCACACACGACAACATGCTGGACCGTAACTGGGCATATTGGACAACGTTCACCCAGGTTCGCTTTCCCTCCCGTCCTTCTATTGACCTCTTTCAACTCATAATAACAGGACGTTTGCTGGTCCATCTACGTCGGGCGCGAAGCATCCCTCCCCTCACCCTCCAAGCAAGTCCTCCCAGTGCCCTTCATCGACGCGGACTTCGACCAGATCCCGTGGCACTTCCCCAAGGCAAACATCGCGCCACAGCCGAATTTTCTATCGCGCACATTCGCCGCATCGTGCGATCTGCTCGCTATTGCAAGGAGGATTATCACGGTCGTGTCAGTGCAGTCTACCTTATCTATTCTGTTACGGTGATTGAATTTGAACTTGTCATTAGGAATAGCCTTGGCAGATCGGCTGCGCGCAACGAGGTCAACGACCAGCTGATCACTGATATCGAGTGTGTTTCTGCGTTTCCTCCCTCCGAAAACAAACTCCAATTCTACTTTCTTGTTAGCGTCCAACTCAACGGCTGGAAGAGCCGCCTCACCCCGGAGGTCAACATCACGCCGGCAAACAGGGATACGTCGACCCCGCATCGGCTTATGCTGCATTGTACCTACTGGTTCGCGTTCATCCTGCTCCACCGGCCGTTCTTCCATCGAAAGGCGCGCCCTACGCATGGGTCGGACCGTGAAGTCGACCATGTGAAGGTTCGTGGTTTTCCATTCTTCCAGGAAATCAGTCTGATGAATGTCGCTCAGCTGTGCAAGCGCGCAGCGGAAAATATCATGGAGTTGTTGCACACCTGGCGATCGCTGTACAGCCTGCGCTACGCGCCGGTAACTTTGGTACGCATTCTCCCACCATCAGTATAAATAATATTCAAAAACAATTTACGACGCAAAAATCCAACAGGTGCAGGTGATTTTTTCAGGCGGCACGATATTTCTCCTGCTCGCTTCGCAGGCGACGGCCGGGACGCGCATCGCGCAGGAAGCTCTGAAATCAGCTCTCATGCAGGCGGAGCTGTGCATCCAGTATCTGCTCGAAATCGGCAAGTCCTGGCAGTGCGCGACCAACATCGGGGGCATTCTGCGGAATCTGCTACAGGAGCAGCTGAAGCCCGTCTTGGACTCGCGAACGGCGGCTGCTGCGGTAGACTCGGCGCCCAGGAAGTCCGCCCGGACTAGGGCAAGGACAAGAGGACCGGTCTCCCCCGCTGCGTCCTTGGAATCGCAAAAATCTGAGGCCTGGCACTCACCTCCTAGTGGTTCACAAGATGCTGCACAGCGAGACATTATCCTTTCCACGGATCCTCACCTAGAGGGGAACTACAATCCCAATCTCTTCGCCGAGGCCGAACTCTCAGGATTCCTTGCGATGCTCGGAGGCGAGACCCTTCCCGAGGCGCCGTTTATCGCTCCGTTTAGCATGATGGACGAATCCATGTCGTCGCTTGATACGGAAAATCAGTACACTCCTGGGTTTCCTGACGGACTCGCGCTGCAGGATGTCCGAGCTCAGTCGGGGGCTGAACTCGCGGACCTGGAGGCGTTTTGGCAAGATTATTTGCGGTGACTAGGGGCTGATCGGGAAATATATGTATTTTTCAGGATTTGTACTCAGGGAAACTGTACTCTGCTCTTGATTTGGACATGTAAAGTATCTATGGCTCTAATGTTGTTCTTCCATCTCAACTCCAGGGATTCAATTTCTTTCGCTGCAGCGGTGAACCTGCGCGCACCTATCACTCCCCACATTCCCGTGATAAGTCTCAGCTCCGTGGTCTAATGGCACGATGTCAGCATTTTCCGAAAAAGCATCACTGGGAAGCTGAGGATTCCGGGTTCGAGTCCCGGCGGGGCGATCCTTTTTCTTCTCCTGACTTCCACGCTGTAGGGTCTTTTGTGGGCGCTGATGCAGATGACTCGGAGGGCTGCATCAGGCTGCATCATGTTTACGCCTGTTTGGGGGCTGCGGCTGTGCTGAAGCAGTGCCAAAAGATGGCTTTGTTGTGAGCGTTCTCTTTGTCTTTCGCATTCTGTGGCGGCTCGGGATCGGCGCACGCCATAGCGGTAAATATTACATCGCTGTCTGGTCAGCGTGGAGCAACATATTCTCTCATTTACCGGAGAACCGCAAATTTACGGTATATCCGGTCCTCGGAGTCGACAGTCTTGGCCAGAACCTGTTCAATTAATGATTGTTCATAGGTGAATGCAGCATAACTGACGTGCACGCACAAATCGACTTCCTGGTCTGGGATTGTTGTGAGCACAGCGATGTTCAATCATTGCTGAACTGAAACACTGCGTTCCGGGCCCCCCAAGGGGCCCCCGTAGCCGAACCGTGTCTACATTTGTCTACGAGGTTGTACTTGGCGTCGAGGTTCTTCTACCCCATAGTCTACGGGCAAAACGTGTCGATGTTCGTAAGTTTGGCTACGAGGTTGTACACCGTGTAGTCACACGTGTTCTATATTCGTCTACATTTTCCCACGTATGTCTACATCAGTGTTGCAGTTAAGGGTTAAGGCCTTAATATATCAAGCCCTTAAGTTAAGACTAAGGGTTGCCCTTAACAACAGCCTGAAAACATATTGAGCCCTTATTAAGCCTTAATGTTTTAGGCAGACTTTGGGTTGCAGAGATCAGTCTGAAGGTAAATACCCATGAACTTGCATGGGGTCTGCAGAGATGCACCAAACTCCATATTTTGTGAACCCAGAACTGCACCTATAGTTTGGTTATTTTTCAGGCCCTCTGAATTTAATTATGTTCTAGTTCACCAGTGGTTCTGAGTAGTAACCGCACCAAGAATACTGGTATCAAAGGACTAAACTCATAAGGAGCGCTCTGAAGGCTTCCACGCTGACCTCCGAGAGTAAATAATGAGGCAACCTGTGCCCAAGCATATATACCAAGGCCCTCCAGGCACATCTGGTACCCTCTCTGGATGTGGAACTGGATGCCATACATAGTATCTGGTCTGTGGACACAATATTCATTTATTGGAACCCTTCAAACACATACCCAAATGATTCATAGACTCGTAACCAGTCTGCTATGGATTCTTACCTATGGCGAGCATAGGTGCCGTAGGCAGACTTGTACATCTCAGAGAAATCCAAAGGGCAGGGCCGGAGTTTGAAATTTAGCTAACTTTTGAGTGATTCTGATGACACAATGATCCGCTGATCACAGCTTCCCACTCAAACGCCCCCAAACACAGCGAAAATATTGTGACTTGATGTGACCTGACTATAAATCTGAGTAGACAGAGTTGCAAAGATTTTTTTTCTCCATCTTTAAGTAATTTTACCAGAAAAAACGAGTGAAATTTGAGTTCAGGGCAAGTCGCTCAAGAGTCGAGAGTTCAATTTCAAACTCTGGCCCCGCCCTTTGGATTTCTCCGAGATGTACAAGTCTGCCTACAGCACCTATGCTCGCCATAGGTAAGAATCTGTAGCAGACTGGTTACGCGTCTAAATGATTCAACCTTTATGTTAGTTGGCCACCTCGTGCCGCTTGTCGCCGACCTTTGGTCGCTCCTCGCGGCACCCGCGGGAAACTAGAGCAAGAAAATATCCATAATATTAATGAAAAGAGTCTTTGCCAGATAGCACTCACCATTTACAAAGTCAGACAACACAGCTGTGGCCACCTGTGGAAGAACTGTAAAATGAAATTAATACGTGAAAGCTGTGAGCGGACTTGAAGCACTGCATACCAAGCTGCATACCTAGCGCAGGAACTTGGCAGGAACCATTTTTCTCCCTCTCATTTGTGACTCGGGCTGTAAAATTGAGAAAGCAACAGCCCTGGATAGTAGTTCTTAAGTTCAGGTAGTTTTGAAGAATAGATCTTGGGAGTTACATGATTTCCAGAGACAATGCCTTCAGAGTATAAATCAGACTTCCGGATGAATTTGTTTATTTAAATATTTGATTTCACTCTTCGGACCGGGGATCCGACATGATCGGTGCATGACAGGTGTTTTGACAATTCGCTTTGGAGACCTGGTAACGGTACCAGGAATTAGCATTTTCAAAATTAACCCTTACTTTGACCCTTAAAAAGACACCCTTAATTAACCCTTAATATAACTTAAGGCCTTTGCTTCCAGAGTGACCCTTATTAAGACCCTTAACTGCAACACTGCTACATCCCGTAGACGAACCTTGGCCAACCTCGGCATCTTTCCGTCACACCAGCAACTTTTTTTCCAAACATTGTAAGTTACATACATACCTTCAGCTCTCCATGTGCCTACAATGAGGCTACCTTGGTCTACATTTGGTCTACATATTTCTACGCGGGGTAGACAAAGGTAGATATATCTGGGCGAAGGTAGACAAAGGTAGAACAATGTGTCTACCGATGTAGACAAAAGGCCGCAGCTTATTCTTCTGCGGGTGTAGCCGAACCCTTAGGCTACGAAGGGTCGGAACGCAGTGAACATTGCTGCAATTTCAACCATCTTTCAGGGTTCTCGGGGGAATGGTGACTCCGATTAATATTTCCAGCCTTCAGAATCTTCATTCACCGCTCGCTTGAAATTGACCGTGGCCAATTGGAGTCTAAACTAGTGTAGAATAAGCATCGATAGGGTACGGCGCCCATGGTCCTTCTACGGCAGGGAGTAATGATAGATTGTGGGACCAAGGACAGGGTTCGACTCCCTGACGATGCATCCACCAGAGTTGTACCCTTTTTTTTGTTCTTTTTTCAGTAAATTGGCATAAAACTCACTTATTAGCTTTACTCGGTCGGGCGGGGACTTAGAAGCACTAGTACTTGTTTAATTTCAGAGGAAAACATTTTGGTTTAGCTGACGGGATACTTATTTTCATCCTTCCTCAAAGCGGTAGTGATGCTTCGGACCGGGACTTGAGAGACCTGGAAAGAGGAAAGAAAGTATCAGTGGGGGTATTGGCCCTGGTCGTCTCCTTCATCTTCAACAGTAAATTACAAGCGTGATGACAGGGTTCGACTCCTTGACGCTGCATGGCAAGGGACAGTTCCATTTTTTCCCTCCTGCTTAACGTGGAAAGCCGGAATTCTACTCTATGGTTTCAGAGGTATGATAGCCTGAGATTGACAGTAGGAAAGCATCGGTGGGCGTGGAGCCCGCGGCTCCACGCGTGGCGAGAATAAGGAACATCAATTCGCGAGACCGAGGGCGGGGTTCGACTCCCTGGCGATGCATGCAGCAGTTGTTAGGCTTTCTCTCTCTCCATTCACCGGAATAGTGAAGATATTTAAAAGGAGAGAAAATGGTCGATGGCTTAGGGTGCCCACGGCCTGTTAAGTTGCAGTTGAGTCTCTCTGGTTGAACAGAACAGGTGATCGAATGAAGCATGGGTTGAAATTTAAATATGGTACAGTTTGTAATGAACACAACCTCCCAGGAAGAACAGCTAGGTAAACGCGGTGTCTACACCCGTGTACGCTGGTTTGCGCACAAACTTCGTATCCCAGAAAAGCGGTGCTGCGGCAGCCCCAAGCCAGCTGTCCTGTTTCGTCGCGTATCAATCGATACTCAACTCCCCTCACAACAAACCGATTTTCAGCTCACCTTATCACTCACGCCCCACGTCGTGATCCCGACACAACGCGAGACTGCGAGACACGCGTTCGCGACGGTCTTGTAATCGGACGACTGTTGTGCCTGGTTCGCTGCGCTTGTGCTGCTCGCGATGTCGAGCTCGGTGATGGCGACATCGAGGCCTGTGTTGGCGAGCGTCTGGAGGTTGGCCTGGACGGTGCCCGCGCGGCCGAGTTGGAGGTGCGTCTGGCTGCCGATACCGTCGATAGGGACGCCGCGGGACTTGAGCCGGTTGACGAGCGCGACCATGCCGTTGGTCTTCGCTCCGGGGGCATCAAGATCTAAGATGCCGATTAAGTTCAGTATATGTATCGAAGTAAGGCTTGGGCCCTACTGAAATCGTTGATGTAGAGCTTGGCGGCAGGGTCAGCAGCGCGGGCTATCGACAACGTTGAAATCACGATATCGGGTGGCCCAGTGGGAGGTGTTTCTCACCGGCTTTAAACGCGATGTCTATGAAGTTCTCGCCGAGGAGGCGGGAGAATACGCTACTGCGAAGCGTCCCATCTTCATTCAAACACTCGTTGACAACGTCCCATCTACACAGGCACTCAGCAACCAATTGGTTGAAATGATATCGAAGGAGTTCTGACGCGTAGATCTTCCCCTTGAAGCGTGTCATGAGCGTCGTGACATGATTTTGGATGACGGTGGTGAGGTCGGCCGCTGAAGTGATTGAGGATACCCATGCGGGGAGCTAAGTCGAATATCAGAACTCCGGTTGTGCGCAGCAGCTGTAAAGTTGACCTGATTATGCCACACTGAAGGATGGAGGCATCAGCAGTACAAATGAAAACTAGGGAGATCTTGCTCACCGAGGGTATGTCCACGGACGAGACGGCCGTGCGCTTGTGCAAAAGCAACGAGAGCATCAGAGTTGGTGAACGTAAATGATCCTCGCGAGGCTACCGCACATATCAGACCCTGCTTTGTCGAGGTATGGAAATCCGTACGTTCAGTCGCATCCCATTTCATGCTGATATCCAATGAGCAGCGCTCCGGATTCGCAATTCGAAACTAACCTGTTCTCCGGAGTGTACGCTCCATAGTCGGACGTCAAGATAGTCACGTCGATAGCCACACCGATAGTCCCAGGGTCTGCGGCGGAGCCAAAGTACTTCTTGCCCTTGGCCTTAATTTTGGTGTCGAGGAGCCCGAAGACCGCCAACGGCGCAACAAGTAGAGTCGTCAGTACTGATGCCTTCATGGTAATTTTGAGTATGTTTGCAGGACGAATGCGCGAGCTTTATACACTGGGAA